GCGGAGCCGGAATTTTTTTTCTAAAAAAATGACCTTGACTCCCAGGTCCGCCCATCCTTGAGTGGGTACCAGGGGCAGTCCTGGGAAGTAAGGGCGGCCGGCGTGATGCTGACCACATCTCCCACCAAGTACGATGATAGATGCCATGTATGATGTGGTAATAATATCTCTAGTCACATTTACATCCCGTGACATTCTCTGGTACCCATTGTCGGCGGGGTCGACCAAGATCAGTTGTAAATCACCGTTCGAATTCGAACCCAATCTTCCAGCCTGCCAGACAAGCGTCTAGCTATTACGCTACCGCGTTTCTCCGTTAGTCAGTTGCCGTCTCCTCAATGAAGGTTGGCTGCAATGGATCTCCATCACGCTCTGTCTCTTGTTTTGGTTGTACACTCTTTCAGACAGCTGTTCGTCCATCTCGTTATATTGTCCTCCAACTTGCATGGTTGTCTACCTCTCGCTCTCCACCTTTCCCTCTAGTATTGATCGGGTATCTAACGACCATCAAATATAATTTCAAATTGTTTCCACCGACCATGTTTTTTTTTCTTTCTACTCATCAGATGCCTTGCCGACTGGCGTGGGCGATCATGCCTCTCCATAATCTGCGATCTCCTGCAGCATGTATCAGTTCGTGTGCCGACACACCTCCATGCCATGCAACAAGACTTTCAAGCATCTTCTCTCGTTGTCTTTCTCTATCCCTCCTTCCACAGATCTTTCCAGTAATCACAACATGTTCTTTTTTCCCTCTTCTCATAGCATGGCCGAAAAATGATGACTGTCTCCTTCTGATGTCTGTGATAAGTTGTCTTCGGGCTCCCGCCTCTTTCAAAACCTCTTGGTTGCTCTTTTTGGCTGTCCAAGGTATTCTAAGCATTCTTCTGTAAAACCACATCTCTGAGGCCTCTAGAAATTGTTTGGCCTGCCTACCGATTGTTAAGGATTCACAGCCATATGTTAAAACTGGAGCTAGAATTATTTTTCTAACGCTCAATGACAAGGATATATTGCACAAGATGTTTTTCATTTTATAAAATGCAGTTTTTACCTGTCCTATTCTGTTTCTTATCTCAGTTATGCATCTTCCATCTGATGTTATCCATGTGCCCAGATACTTAAATTTCTGTACTTGTCCTAAAATAACACCATCGACTTTTTTTTTTACACATTAAGGAATAATTCGTTTCTTTGATACCACCATTACCTCTGTCTTCCCATTATTCAAACTGAGGCCCATTCTTCCACTTTCTAACACCACAATGTCTATCATTTCCTGTAATTCTTTCTGACTTGTTGCTATCAAGACTGTGTCATCAGCATAACGTAAATTGTTTATATTGTGCCCACAAACCACAATTCCGGGCAAATCAATTAAAGATCTTCCTACTGGAAGGTTATTTTGGTTTGGTGAACTGGTTGATATGATGATGCACCATGTTATCTGTTGAGAGTCTGCCAACTGACAATATCGGGACTTGGGCTCTGACACTTAGGCATCAGATTTCTTGGTAGCGCCACTTTCTTCAGAGTAAGAGAGTTGGCTTTCGGGTATATCTGCCTGCCTTTCTGTCTGTCTGTCTGTCTGTCTGTCTGTCTGTCTGTCTGTCTGTCTGTCTGTCTGTCTGCCTGTCTGTCTGTCTGTCTGTCTGTCTGTCTGTCTGTCTGTCTGTCTGTCTGTCTGTCTGTCTGCCTGCCTGCCTGTGTGTGTGTCTGTCTGTCTGTCTATCTGCTTGACTGTCTGTCTGTCTGTTTGCTTGTCTGTCTGTCTGTCCGTCTTGGTGTCTCTCTGCCTGCCTGCCTGTTTGTCTGCATGCCTGTCTGTCTGCTTATATATTTGTCGGTCTCATCTGTAATGTTTACTTTTTCATTCCGTTAACATAACATATCCTGCACGTCTACGTCCAGTCATAAAACTGGGAACTACCCCAGGTCAGCGCGGCCGGGGACACTTGCCAGATCGGACTAGCTGATCGATGAAGAGAAAATACAGGACCATTCATTGTGCAACCCCTCAGTGTGAAACTGCGTCAGAGCTGAGGTCCAAACGTTACACATCGCTGTCATTTTACGTCCAATGAAATCATGCTTTGTTTATCTTTGTATTGTTACGTTACGTCATCATCATGAGGTAGCAGAACATAAAGAGGTCTAATTGTCCGCAAGACACACACACACAGAGAGAGAGAGAGAGAGAGAGAGAGAGAGAGAGAGAGAGAGAGAGAGAGAGAGAGAGAGAGAGTGAGAAAGAGGAAAACTGCGTACAAAGAAGAGTTGAATGTGAGCCCGACAAAACCCGGAGTCACCAACTGGAAAGTGAAGACCAGTCATTGAGATGAAACAATGATATCTGCTGAGTGAACATCAAGGGCTGGGATTTCTGAAAAAAGATGTTAAGTGGTTTTCTTTTCGATAAGAAATAATTCCAGCCTTGGACAGCGTCAAAAGAAGAGAACGCTACAACGAACGAACGAACAAACAAACAAACAAACGAACAAACAAACTTTTTTTCCAAAGGGTTACAAACTGGGCACCCAGGCCCGTCTGACATTCGGCCCCTCTAAGCACTCATATTTTAGAGTACCATAGCATGTTATCAATAATGGATTTTATGATTACAATGGAACCTCGCTTAACGAGCATAATTCGTTCCAGAATCATACTTGTAAAGCGAAACACTCGTTATGCGAAACAATTTTTCTCATATAAATTAATGTAAAATACGATAATGCGTTCCATGTCGAAAAAAATACTCACAAAATGTTATGTATAACGTTTATTCAAAGAAAATTATATACATATTGTTAAGGAGAGTGAATCATCTTCATCTTTTCTTCCACCGCGGAACAGGTGGATGGGGGACCTGCTAATAAAGATATATTTGTCTATGGCAAGGGTATCTGTCTGTATTTCTTCCTCTGTGTCTGTCTGTTTATCTATATATCTGTCTGTCTGAATATACATGTGAATGTATGGTGTGTGTGTGTGGATATTCTAGAGTGTTGACTGTCAGTTTTGTATATTATTAATGTATCTCTTGTTCTGGTTGCGCAACTTCCCCGAACTGTTGTATGTCTATCTTTCTTGTTACACTGCCATTTTAGTAATTGGATTTTCGAGTGGGATACCGCCAAGTGTAGCAGCTAGAGCTCGGAAGATGGTCGGTTCAGATCCTGACAGAACTAAGCTTTCTTAAAAAAAATGAACTTGGCTCCCATGTCGACCCAGCCTTGAGTGGGTACCAGGTAACATCTTGGGAAGTAAATGCGGCCAGCGTGATATTGACCACATCACCCACCAAGTGCCGATCTGTCTGTAAAATATACGTCTGAAGGTGTAGACAAGGGTCCTTTACTTTACTTACCGCCAAATAGAAATTCAACGAGGAGAAGTATACAGAAACCGGTTGTGGGCAAAGAAAAACGATGAACCAGTCAACTCGTACTGGCCACGGTGGACATGGAGACAGATGGCTGCTGCATTGGAGGACGGAATACGACTAAGTAGGAGCTATGTTTTAGGATGTCGATACGGACATTGGAGGACGGAATACGACTAAGTAGGAGCGATGTTTTAGAATGTCGATACGGACATTAGAGGACGGAATACGACTAAGTAGGGGTGATGTTTTAGGATGTCGATACGGACATTGGAGGACAGAATACGACTAAGTAGGAGCGATGTTTTAGGATGTCGATAAGGACATTAGAGGACGGAATACGACTAAGTAGGGGTGATGTTTTAGGATGTCGATACGGACATTGGAGGACGGAATACGACTAAGTAGGAGCGATGTTTTAGGATGTCGATACGGACATTGGAGGACGGAATACGACTGAGTAGGAGCGATGTTTTAGAATGTCGATACGGAAATTGGAGGACGGAATACTACTAAGTAGGAGCGATGTTTTAGGATATCGATACGGACATTGGAGGACGGAATACGACTAAGTAGGAGCGATGTTTTAGGATGACGATACGGACATTGGAGGACGGAATACGACTGAGTAGGAGCGATGTTTTAGGATGTCGATACGGACAAGCAACAAACACTTGTATGGTATCCCCATTTGTACGGCTAGCTACCTCTTGCTCGCCGGCCTTTAACGCTTCCCTTTTTAAAAAATAAGCATTCTATATTTTATTGTAGCGGGACATGTTTCACTTGTCCATGTTGTTTATTTATTTCAAAAACTTTGATATTAATCCCAATCTCTTCAAAACCTCTTTATTTGATTATAACGCAAGATTAAAATCGATTAGATTCTGCCAAGATTTGCGAGACAAACATATATAACAGACAAGCAATTAATGCGGGAGCAGCCATAATGCAATAATGTTCGTTTATGTTTTGTCAGGCTGCTGCGTCTTTCATGTTTTTGTTGCTTTCTCCAGTTTCCAGTGAGATCAACTCGGCTTGCTTGTAAATTCTCTCCTGATTATTGGTGGGCTAGATTTAATTCTCTTTACGCTCAAGTGAGGATGTGCCTGGAAATGAAGAAGATCCTGTGGATAGATGAAAGAAAACATAATTTTTGCAGCGTGAAATATGAGAGCAACCTCAGTACCGGCAACAAAAGCAGCAACACCAGTTGCAACAACAGCATTGAAAGTAGTGACACATCTTCAAAGGCAGTAGCAACAATATCAGTGGCAGTAACAACAATAGCAGCGTTCACATCATCAAAGGCAATAGCAACAATATCATCAGCAGCATCAAACAACTATTGCAGCAGTGACATCATCAAAGGAAGTAGCTATAGTGTTAACAGCAGTAACAACAAAAGCAGTGATATACTTTGAATTTATTTATTTATTTATTTATATGATATAATCACACGCAACAGCAAAAAGTACCAGTAGCAGTGTCAACAGCAAAAGAAGTGACATCATCAAAGCCAGTAGCAACAATATCAGTAGCAGTAACAACAACAACAACAACAAAAAAGAAGCAGCGACACAATCACAAGCGGTGTCCACAGTCTGTGTTGTGTTCG